TCTGACCTCCTTCCTTTCTTTTTTTTATTTCCATTCCCTTCTTCTCTCCTGCACCCTGTCTTTTTCTCTCCCTCCTAGCCAGCCAATCTAATTTCTCAATGTGTTGTTGTTGTTGTTGTTGTTAGTGTGTGGTTTATATGCAGTGTTCTGTATTTAGCTCTCTCTGGGAGTCACAATGTTCCATTTACCTTTCCCACAATGCCCTGCTGGGGAATGGCCCCGATTATGCAAAATGTGCATGTGTGTATGTGATGTTTTTGAATAAGGCATAATACAGCTGCGTGGGAGGGATGTCATCTTCATCTTCTCCTCCATTCCCCTCTTTATCTCTAAAATGTATTTTCTCAAGCTATGTATTTAAAAGAGCTTAAATCTCTTCTTCAAGTCTGACTTTTTTGATTCTTACAAGTGCAAAAAACAAAAATAAAATACGATGAAGCTCAATGCAGACTAATGTTTAAAACATGTTTTGAGCTGGTGATTATCAAACCTTCAGTTTAGTGTCTGACTTGTCAGCCAGTAGCAATATTCAATTTCAAAAAGGGGGGCAACAGAAAAACTTTAGGAGCCGCTGACAGCAGACTTTATATTGTAGTTTACATCACTTGTCTGAGCCTATTTATTGAAACATGTAGGTATACATTTCTGAAAAACAAAGCTCAGTCTCCTCTTTACTGCGCCAAGCATTAAAATCTGCCTTCTTCTCATCTTACTCCTTCTCCTCTTCCCCCTTCCTGTTTGGAGACACTTTGACTAATAAGTCAGGTGCAAAATGTTATGCATGTCTGTACTGATTCCTCTAATGTGCATCAACATAATGTCTACCTTTCCTCTTCCCTTCATTCAGTCAGTGTTGTTCTCTTTCTCATTTCTTCTTGCATTTGTAGGCTTCTTTTCCTCTTCCAATTCTCTGTCAACATCTCTATTTTCCACTTAACCATCACTCTCTGTGCTGAAGTAATCTCCTTCAGTTACCTAGACCCAAGGTATCCGCTTTAGTTTGTCTCTATTTTTTTGCATTGTGTTGGCTAATGATATGGTAGGTATCATTTTAATGGGTTCTTGGTGTGTGTGTCCATGCAACTAGCTAGCCTATATCCACCACAGGCCAGGACAGTTTGCCAAAAGCTCCTGGAGCCAACTCAGCAAGTTGTTTTTGTATACTTGTTTTAAATTTCTCCTGTGATATATTGTCTAAATGTTTGTACACTAGATATGTGTTGTTTGAGTAAGATTCTGGCATAATACCCCACATGATTTCAAATTAATGTTACACAAGTGAAATAAGTTATTTTTTATTTAAGTTAACGCTTTTTTTGTTATTCTCAATTCTTGTATTTGTCGCAGTGTTGAATGTGGTATATGTGTTCTGAGATGTCAAATACACAAACTAAAGCTGTGTAAAAACATGATTTACACCAATAAAATAAAAAATAGATAAATATTCTTATTTGAATGTAATTTTAATTGCTAGTCGGCTCCTCTGCAGCAAGGAACTTAGTCCTAAACTGTCACTGTCGCTCTATGGCTCTGTCTTTTGTATCCCCAGCTCTCCACAGTATGTCTCTTCACAAAGAAAGCAGGAGACCATTGTGTCCTCAGGGAGTTTAATGGATATTTCTGATTCAACATGCTCCCCCAATGCAACCACACTTCACAGTAAAAGTGCAGTGACTGTCAATATCAAAATAAGAGCATGCCTGCTGTTTAGAAAATGTGAGGGCGACTTGCTCTTTGCTTTCATGTAAGAATTTAAGCTATGCCTCATACACACAAATTTTCACACACACAAACGTACATTGGCTTCCTCACTGACACAAAACATCAATATCTGCTCAAAAGAAAGTAAAAAATAAAGCTTTGAAAACAAAAATATCAATAGATACTCACTGGCGCATGCAACCCTCACACACAGATTATCACACAGGCTTGTAAACACAATGGTTGATTATCACACAAATACACATACAGTATACAGAGACAGACACAGGCACACACAAACAAGCTTATATCATACAGTGTAACGGTTCAAAGAAAACAAAACTTCACTGTGTAAAAGAAACATATATTGTAGCTTTTTTGTATCACTCTCCCATTTCATTATTTTTCTTGTATTGGCTCTAATCTTTCACTTTTATTGGTGACAGAGTTACGCCCTAAACACATAGAAGTGAAGATCCTTTGTCCTTTGCCCCACATGTCAGTACAGTTACAGTATATATAAAGTAATTAAAACGGTTGTGTGGTCAAGTGATACTCCTATAGACCTATAGATGGGTTTCTATCCACAGATTTAAAAAGACAGCATGTTTTGATCTAACATTTATGCTCACTTCTGTCTTGCCATTAGTAGGCTTTATCAATTTTATTGACATTTACATCGTCTTAAAGTTGATTTAAGCATCGATTTGATTCTGTCCACTTTTCAGTTGAGCACAGCAGGGATGATTCACCTGAAGTAAAAGCAATAGTTTTGAAGACAGTCTGTGGCAATCAGACTTGGCACACAATCCTATGATCGGTGTCACATTCTCAGTTAAATAATTCCAAGATTCAAAGTCAGGCAGTGGCATTTTATTCACTGTCATCTTGGAAGCAATACACTGGGATGCAATTGACTCATGTTTAATCATGTTGATGTGAATGTGATTCTGCATTTATGTCCCATGGGAAATAACCTGCATAGTAAGTGGCGCTTTCTTCATGAGAATACCATTAATGTCAGCTTTCAGGTGATGGAAAGTAACATGGGAACAAGAAGATTGACTCCAATTTCTCTGACTTCATTGATATGACTCTTGTGTCAAGTTTAGAAAATGTTAAACTGATTAGAAAAAAAAAAAAGATTTATCAGTTTTCAATCACTGTAAGTAATTGTAAGTGCATTTAAATAAGTACTAAATAATAATAATAATAAT